ACACACACACACACACTGTGGTTGTGTATAATCATAATTCTGCATCATTATATAATTGCTTATAATTGTATAATCGTACTGTTCTTTTAGATTGTAAACCATTCTGAGGCCCAGTTTTTTTGGGAGGAGGGCGGGAGGAAGCTGGAAGCAAAAAAATAATTATAATAATCATGCTTAAAATTCTTTCAGTTATTCTCAAAGGTGCTACAAGATCTCTCTACGTGCATGCTTAAAATTGTTATGTTAATAATCATTTTGCTTAAAATTAAATATTTGGGGGGAGCTGGATATAAATAAATAATAATGTTTAAAATTCTGTTAAATTGTTAAAATTGCTATGCTTAAAATTAAATGTCTGGGGGAAAACTGGATGCATATTATTATTATTATTATTATTATTATTATTATTATTATTATTATTATTTTCCTGTGGTGGTGATGGTGGTGGTATGCCTTCAAGTCATTTCCAGCTTATGGTGACCCTATCATGGGGTTTCTTGGCAAGTTTACTTGAGGGGGGGGTCGCCCTTTCCATGAGTCTGAGAGGGTGTGACTTGTCCCCCAATGGGTTTACATGGCTGACAAGGGATTTGAACCCTGTTGCCTGGAGTCATAGTCCAAAGCTCAAACCATTACACCGCACTGGCTCCTACACAATCCTTGCTGTTCAGCCAAGTGTCCTTTCCAGTTTTAAGGGGAAGGAATGAGACTTGTGTGAAGGATGACTAATTCACTCCCATTCATTCCTTTGGGTTTACTCCATTTGGGGACTGAGGCCAGGTTTAGCCCTAAGGGAGGAATACATCCCAGCACCCTGTCGCTTGCAGTCCTCATGCTACAGAAAAGTACAATAACATCCAAAATCCACAAAACAGTGATACAGTCGGCCCTCCATATCCATGGATTCAACCATACTTGGTTTGAAAACATAAGGGGGGGGGGGGAGAGAGAGAGAGAGAAATTCCAAAAAGCAAAACTTGATTTTGCCATTTTATGTAAGAGACACCATTATATTACCCCATTGTATATCATGGGACTTGAGCATCCACAGATTTTGGTATCCATGGGGGTCCTGAAACCAAACCCCAGCAGGTGACTAGGACCCACTGTACTTTTATGGGGCCAACACAAATGCATACAACACCCACAAAACAGTAATACTTTTATAGGGCCAACACAAAATGCAAAATTTCAACATCTTATTTTGTGCTTTTTAGTTGGCCTCATAAAGGTAGCACTGTTTTGTGGATTTTGGATGTTATTGTAACTTGCTGTATGGCCAACACAGCTACCCCTGGATATACCATAGAAAAATGTTATTTCAAGCCTCTCTTTTTCTGGAGGGGCAGAATGTGGGAAGGTAAATAACCCTTGCAGAAAGTCTTTGTCTTCTGTGATAGTCTGGTTTATTGGAGGTGGCCACCTGTGGTGGGTGTAGGATTTTTTATGCCCCTTAAATCCTTTTGAGGCCACATGGTTTGCCAAAAAAAAATCTCCAAACTAAAACTGATCAGAAATCCATTGATGATTGCGGGAATTTAATTTGGAAAGTAAGTACAAGTGGGCCCTTGGTATCCGCTGGAGTTTGGTCCCAGGACCCAATGTGGACACCAAAATCTGTGGGTGCTCAAGCCCCATTAAATGCAATGGCATAGTGAAGTGGCATCTCTTATAATAAAATGGCAAAATCAGGGTTTGCTTTTGGGAATTTATATATGTTTAAAAATATTGTCAAGCTGTGGTTGCTTGAATTCATGGATGAAAAGACCATGCTTATGGAGGGCTGACTATATATATATATGAAAAAGTGAATCTGGAACCTATTGCAAATATGATTTGCCTCTCCTGGGGCCTAGTCACACTATCATCATCATCATCATCATCATCATCATCTTAATCTTATATCCTGACTTTCTCCCAGTATAGGGACTCAAAGTGGCTACCAACAAATTTAAAATAGCACAGTTTAAAACAATGCAAAAGCATTAAAAAGTATAAAATTATTTTTTAAAAAAGTTAAAACAAATATGCATTAAAACACACAACTGTAGTGTTATGATTCCACTTTTAAAGGGTCATGGTTTATGGAATCCTGGGGTTTGTAGTTTGGTGAGTCAATAGAGGCCTGTGGCTGAAAATTCTTAATATTCCCTCCTTCAGCTCCAAACTTCATAGAGATGGAGTCATGGGAGTTAATGTAGTATCATAGCACTATAATTTTGCAGTGTGAAAGGTTCTTTACCCCTCCCACCATTTTGAGGGGGCAGAAAATTTGGAGATGCCAAGGGCCACAAAAAGGCCTTGGGTGCCACATGTGGTCCATGGTGTAGTGGTTTGAATATTGGACTATGAATATTGGACTATGATTCTAGAGACCAGGGTTTGAATCCCTGCTGAGCCATGAAACCTACTGGGTGACCTTGGGCAAGTCACTCTCTCTCAGCCTCAGAGGATGGGCAATGGCAAACCCTTTCTGAAGAAGTTCGCCAAGAAAACCCCATGATAGGTTTGCCTTAGGGTTGCCATAAGTTGGAAATACTTGAAGGCACACAGCAGTAGCATAATTGTAGAAAAGCAGTTGCAAAAAAAAATCTGTATGGCTTATAAATACTGTCTCCTAAGCTGTGTGGTTTATAAATGTGTCCTAAGCTTGTTTAATGACATCACTTGAGTTTGCTTCCAAGTAAATGTTTGCCTTACAATGGTTACCTTAGCCACGGAGACTTAAGTGTATTATCTCCAAATAGACTAAGTATATTGTCACACAT